CAGAATCGCCATAAAAATAACTTAATAAAAATAAAGTACTGGCTTCCCAGCAGGAACCAATGGCCACTGCCGCCTGCTGGCAGGGGAAGCTGCCAGCAAGCAGGGGAGCAGCTAAGATGGTAGCCACTCCCTTCCTCCACCCTGGCCCCTCCCCTCTCTGCCAACTGGCAGTGAGGGGAGGCACTTGCCAGGACCCCTCAGCCAATCTGGGGGGGTGGAGGGGGTAGAGGGAGCTCTTGCTGCGAAAGCACTTTGAAAATAACACCGGGCACTGTGAGCAGCTCACACTTTCTTCCTTCACCTCAATGTGATTTATGCAGATCCCTAATTATTGCTCAGTGTGCAGATTCCATCTGCCTTGCCTGGGTGTTTGTAAAGATTGCAACTTTTGATTAAATGCTGTGCTGTTTGTTGGACATCGCGTTCACTCAGAGAGGTGCCCAAGATGTTCATCCTGTGAAATGCAGAAGTGTTTTATACCAACAACAAACAAGTCCCCCATTGGGCATGACCTTGCCAGAATAGTGTGGGCCAAGCTGAACAGATTGAGATCTGGATATGGATGCTTCAAAACAACATGACCACGGCCAGAATATAATCTTTAGCGTTAACTCTATAGAAAAGTGAAACCGTCTCTTTTTTCTTTCCTTTTAGTTTTTAGACCTTATACAGTGTTGAAGCTTCAGTTGCCCGCAGCTGTTGACAAAGTCTGCTAATATCTACTTGCTTTCTTACAGATGAGCCTAGAAATTGAGAAACCAAGCGTAGGTGAGTTGCTCAAGAAGCTCTTAAATAGGGGGTCTTGGTCTGTGCTCAGTCCATAGAAAGCCATGTCTTTTATTTGTATTATTGCAGTGTCTAAAGACACTGTTACCTGGATTGCAGGTGAACTTGTCTGTTGGCTACTGATAAAAGAGGCAAGAGACAGGTCTACAGCTTGACCTTTTGTCAATTACTCCTCAAAAAAAGAGAAGCAAACTCAAAGTCTGTCTGGCTACCCGGGACAGCACAACATAGAGTCTTCTTATCTGTACAAACTGGAGGGACTGAAGAAGGAGAGGAGGGTAGTACACAGACTGGAAGAAGATCTTGAATTTGCCAAGTTTTCCAAACTTCCCTCTAGTCTATACCTTATATTTGTAGATGGATTATTTTAATATTCTTATAAACATTCTTTGATTTGTTTTTAGTTGCATATTTTTGTTTTACTGAAACAGATCTCTTGGGGACTTGGAAGATGCCAATTAGTTGGTGCCAGTTAGTTGGGGATTTATGTCCTTGGGCAGTGGAATGGAGGATTTCTTATCTTATCCCATCACCACTATGGAATGTCTATTTGCCACCATCCTGTTTTCTCCTCGCTTCAGTTTACAGCAAGGGTCAGCAACATTTTTGGGCAGAGGGCTAAAAACACCAGCAACTTGGACTTGTAGGATGTTGGTGTGCCGGGGCAGATGGAGGGGGAGCTATGAGGGGCCCAGGCCTTGGCGTCTTCCCTGAGGTGCAAGTGCCAAGCAAAATGCCTTCGTGGACCATGCTCCTACCCCTAGTTTACAGTCTTCACTGACAAGGCTGCTTTGTCTTTGCAAGTTATCTAAGAAGCTTAACTAAATACATCTGTTATAGCAAAACAGCATCTAATACATTTGGTTACATCAATCATTATTACTAACACTTTAAGATAAAGTTATGATATAATATATTGGGATTATTTAATTTAAGGCTTTATTTTAGAATATCTCTTTTCAGGCCTTGTGCTCTGGTTAATTGGATCTCATTACTGGTTTAGCTGGTCGTGTTAATTCCTTTATGTAACTGACAAGCTAGTTGTGATGTATGCAAAGGTTCATTCTTCCATCACTTTAGGCCAAGCTACAGAAGTGTGACTCGGCCTCTTGAAAATGGCTAAGGCTGGCAACAGCATCCAAACTATTAGGATGTGGTTGCACATGTTGAATCTAAACTGGTTTTAATCCCTGACATCCTCCTTCAGATGGATAGTATTCTAGTTTCAAAGATCTCCCCTTGCTTGTGGGGCCAACCACAAATGTCGGTGTGGTGTGATTTCTGAGGATGGTGGCAGCAATTTTTTTTTTAATCAAAGCACCAGGTAGTGACTGATATTTTTTTTCTTCAAAAGAACCACTCCTAGTATTTGTCTCTGGCTTGACTAGCAAGATGCTGAATTGAGTTGACTAGGGGAGAGCAAGGAGAAATGTTTGGGCTGTATTGTAATATCAAATATCTATTTCCTACCTCTCAAGTACAGTATGCAAAAAAAAAAAAAAAGTATTATCTCTTAAGCAAGAATGAAATGAATGTTAATATACTGTTGCTCATATTGCAGCACTTCAGTAGTATTAAAAATCCCACTTCAATAGCTTTGGCTATAATCTGCCAGAGTAAATGTTGGCTCAGAAGCAGCTGTGGTAATGTAGTTCTTCTCTAAATTTGTTTGAGTTCAACTAAATTGGGGCCAAGTGAAAGAATTAGTTTTTCAGTAGTGCTGCCTCCAGTTCCAAAACACTTCAGCTTCCACTAGCCATCCTCCCCCCTCTGTCTCCTCATATTAAAAAATGTTGAGTGCAGCCTGGCCTGTGAAATCTGCCGAGGCTGTATCAAATACTCTGGCAGTAAGATTACTTTTGAGTTTGTCAGTTGTGTAAAAAGTGGGGGCTGAGCAGAAAGGTTTTTGCAATTGTATATGGGGCCTACTAATAATGTGGTAAAGTAATAGTTTAATAGATATTATATGGTATGAAGAATGTGGGCTGGCATGGGCGTCTGACTCTGATATTGGACATCTGGATTTACTTCTTGTGGGCATGAATTCAGAATATGTCCAGGCTTATTGCTAGGCCTTTTCAATGCTTTTAAAAGTATATAAATACAGGGACTGTCAATAGACAGCTTCCTAAAGACAGACAAGGGGAAATTCACTTTATGTAGGTGCTTCACTTTGAAACATTTGGACCTGCACATTTAAAGGCATCTAATTTTGTTTGTTGCTTTTGGGATAGGAGAGAGAAGAATTTCTTCATCAATTGAAAGAAACATTAAGGCTTTTAGAGGGAAGCTTTTATTGGTGAATGGCTCCTTGTTGGTTTGTATGGGCTACAAACAGAAGACAGCTTTCCGTGGGACAAAGCCTTTTATTTTGTTATCTTGTAGTACAAGCCCATTGTCCCACCCCAAGTACCTGTGAAGTACCAAGATAATTTTTTTTTCTCCCTGGGGCAATAGGAACTAATTTGAGTTGCCATTCAAGATGCATGTGTAAATGAGGGTGAAGGTAGACATTACAGTTGGACCATACTAAGTCTGTTGAATGTTAAGTGGTGATAAAGTTAGAATGTGTTGTGAGCGATCCCTGTTTAGGGGATAATAGTGTGTCTTGCCTGCACAGTCCTGATTTGCCATTAGAGGGTGGCTCAGCAGGGGTGTGGCTAGGAACCAGGATACCTGAGCTTTATCCCTGCTCTGGGCACATCCTGGGCTGCTGAATGACTGCAGATAGCTAGTTTTATCTCTGTGGAGTAGACTGAAGTTATGCTAGCATGAGCACCAGGTCAACCCATGGTCTAGAGTAGGGGTTGACAACGATTTTGGACAGACTACCAAAAAAACCCTGCAAACATGACCTGTAAGACGTTGCATTACATGGGCGGATGGTAGGGAAGCTGAGGGGTCTGATCCTTCTTGTGGCATTGCAGCTCCGGCCCCTTCCCAGACGTGCGAAGGCCAAGCAAAATGCTTTTGTGTGCCATGCTCTGGTATGCATGCTGGGGTTTGCCTACCCTGGCCTAGAGCTAAGCCTTTCCTGAAGTGGCACAATTCTGAGATTCTCATAGGGCCCTTAGCATTAGTTAACAACAGGTAATGTTGTTTAAAATGTGGATACTTGCATTTTAAGTGCCTTTAGTATGGTCTAAGTGCAATGTACAACTTCAATGTGACTGTTCCACACCTGTTTTGATGCCAGTTGTTTGTTTTTAGCCTTGGATTCAATTCAAAGGCAGCAGACTTGCTCCACTCCTTCATCCAGGTTAAAGTTGGAGCAGCTTTGCTGCATTTTTATTGTTATCTGAGAACAAGTTAGACCATACCAGCTGCTACCCTTTTGAAATGTTCCCCTTTTGAAAGGGCTCCAACAAGTTGTTAAGCTTTTTTACTTGTGACATTCTTGCCATAATCAAGTTGTGGTAATTATTTTCCTTTGAATTCCAGTAGGTGTAGGGCCAGATCCATGTCTGCTATAAATTGGCAATCAGACTTTGCTGCTGCTCTGCCAAATTCAATCAACTGATGGTGTTTTTCACCACATAGTGTCAGCCATGTGGTTTAAAAGAGTTGCTATACAGGCAGTCGTCAGACTTAGGAGTCAATTGGGTCCTGAAAACTGTGTCTTAAGTTGAAACGTAACTTGGAACCAATTTTCTCATGAGAAACAATGTTATAAATGGGGGATTGGTTCCTGAACCAAGGCCTGATACCCTAGAATTTTGGACTTTATCAATTATAGATGAGTAATATAGCTACATTCATGTATTTATACTGTAAATAACAATCATTGATTTGGAAGGACTTCTTTGAGGTGATTTTGCTGGACTTTTTGAAAGGCTCTTGGTTGCACTTTTTGAAGGGTTCTTGTATAGAGTCTTCTCAGGAGTCTGGGCTGCAGGTTTTTCTGGAGTCTTGTCTGCTTTCTTAAAGAAAGTGTCCAAGACAGTTTGGACAGATGTTCTCCAGGGAGGTGAATGACGCAGCAAACTTGTTCGCTGGCGTGGCATTGCATTGGATCAAGCATTGTAAAGTCAAAACTGGCCTCAAAGTTGAAACAGGGTGTTGATTTATAAATGTTGTACGTGCGAAATGTTGTAAGTTGAGGACTGCCTTGATTGAGAGAGAGAACACATGTACAAACATTTTCCTAACCGCTTTGGGATCATTTAGTATGCCGACCACTAGATAAATAAACAATCAAAACTTTCACAGTCGAAGTTAAAATATGTCATGAAAAATCAAGTAACTATAGCAGAGACAGTAGCTGCAGTGCTTTTATCGTGGCATTGGTTTGCTTGTGCTTTGCACTCAGAAAACATATCAGTTCAGTTATACGTTAAGTTGCTCTTCCACCTCTCGTCTCTCTCAGTTGCTCCAGTTGGAGACAGGCGTACAGTCTTGTGAACCTCTGTTCTGCACATGTTTATATACTGCTCAAGAAGAAATCACTGCAACTAATAAATATGTGCACTATTCCTCTAAAGACATATAAAACATATTTGAGCTATAAGGCTGTATAAACATCAAGCAATTCTGATGACGACATGTAAACCACAAGGGGGAGGGCTGACTGGCTTGATCTCTTCAGAACCTAGAAATGTTTGCATAGCCTTGTTGCTCAGCTCTGTCTCTTTATATGTTTCATGAAAGTCTTAAGAGAAATGCTTCCTCCGGTTGTGTAATACGGCAGACTGCTGCCCTGTCATCTCAGTGGGATAGGAGACCCTTGCTCCTGTTTCTTGTCTTAGGGTTTGATTCTCCAATACTTTTTAAACCTTGTGTGCAAAGTAGGTATAAATGACCCCCCACTTGTAAAGCACTATAGAATGTAGATTTCAATCCACAGTGTTCACCTGCCTCCTGCCCAACCACCTCCTGTGATTTTTTTTTGGGGTCCCTTAAGTCTTCTTGAAAAATGTATCATCTTGATTTTTTTTTTTTTTCCTGGAACTTGAAATTCAGCTTGTAGCATGTTACCCGTTGTGGCACGAGCGAATTAAATGGGACTGTAGCCCAAAGGAGTCATCACATGCAGTAGTAAACCTACACCAGCATACCTAGGTGCTAAAACCCACTTTGGGAAGAAGAATGTTAAAAGAGATGTAGAATGAAAGTGGGACCTAGTCATGGCTAAAAGAAATTGCATATTTTGCAACATGACTAAATATGATTAAAAGGGAATTTTTAAAAAAGAATCTAGTTTATATTTCATCTTTTTATGCTGTTTGGTCTTTTTAGAGAGAAGATAACAGGCAAGCCAGTTTTTACTTTTGTTTCTAATCTCATTTTTCCCAGGGTTTAAGTACATAAAAACAATTACCATTTACAATTCA